CACTGCTTTACACCCGCACAAGGGAAATCCGGTTGCGGTTTGATGGCAGATTTCCACTCATGAATAAGACACTGGTTGCGTTCCAGCCGCACAACCAAAAGCCTGCCCAGGAATGTAATGAGCGCCTTATTCGTGAGCAGCCGTCTGCTGCCAAGGACTTACTGCAGTTGCCTACTCTATGTGCAAGAGTAAACTGGCTGAGGGATGCTCATCACAGTTTGCATCGTCAGATTTGGGGCCATTTATTCTTCTGCAGGAAGACACACACACACCCATTTGTTCCAGGTAAAATATTATGGGCCACTGCTGGCAAAAGGTGGCATGTATTCTAAAGCCTTCCCTACAGCTCAACCCTGCAATTCCTTGATGCCCTGCACAATTTATTAATTTATATTTATTTGTGCATTTCTGTACCACTGACTTAAATACAACTCTAAGCAGTCTAAACAACATGGCAAACATCAACAAATTTTTAAAAAACACAACTTTTTTGATTGTTGTTGTGGGTTTTTTGGGTTCTTTGGCCATGTTCTGAAGGTTGTTCTTCCTGATGTTTCACCAACTTTCTTTTTGTTTGTTTGCAAGAACACAAACACAAATAAAATCCTTTGCGAGGCAGCAAATTCTCTGGGAGCTGGCTGGATAGCTCTGAGGTTTAGATCTCTGGCTGCAGAGCCAGAGGTTGGGAGTTCGATTCCTCCACTGTGTGCTTCCTGGGAGTAGAGCCAGCCTGCGGAGCCTTGGGTAAGCTGCAAAGTCCCCGGGGTGGCCCCAGAAGAAGGGAAGGGTAAACCACTTCTGTGTATTCTCTACCCAGAAAAACCCTGAAAAGAGTTGCCTTCACTCAGAATTGACTTGACAGCACATGGGAAATTCCCGGGGCTTCTAAAAGAAAGTACAAGAGCCTGCTTTTCTCATTGCAACACTTTGCAAGGAAGTTGCACCTGTTAAAAGCATCCCTCCTTAAAGACACAAAGGAGTCCCTACAGCCTTCTGCAAGTGGTTGCTTAAAGAAGGCAGACGCAACAACATTCAGCTCCATGTCCTGTTGCACCTAGGAGACGATGTAAATTTGCAAGTAGTTTCAGAATCGAGGCTGAAAGTGTTCATATCCTCCTCCCACACACCCCATTTAAGCAGCAACAGCTTCCTTCAATGAGCAGAGCGATTTCAGCTGGTATTTAGCTGCAGTTTGTTTCTCTCTTTCTCTCTCTTGGAAAAGCTTGCAGGTAGCCAAGGGCTATGATTGGGTGCAGAGTTACCTGAGGCAGGTGGGATGCGCGTAGGGTTTGAGCATCGCCTATAAAGCTCTCTGGACCGCCGTTCCTCTGGTTTACCTTGGTTTCCTTTTCAAGTACAGGATGGGGCTCTTAAAGTCTTTGGCCCTTGTTTGCCTTTGCTGGGCTGTCTGGGAAGGAGCTGCTTTTGACTCTTGGGACGGTGTCTTCAGGAACCCGGTGGGATGGAGATCTTCTGCGGCAAGAACAGATCCCTCTGTGGGGCAGCCCTATGCCCTGTCCTGGTCTCAGAATTATCCCCAGGCTTGGGTGGATCCTTCCCAGCCAAGGATCCTGTCTCCCTTGACCCCGGTGGCTGCCCAGTGTGGGGAGGCCCAAGTGGTGGTGACGGTCAACAGGGACCTTTTTGGTACCGGGAGGCCTATCAAAGCCACGGACCTCACCTTGGGCTCTCTGGGCTGCCAGCCCACTTCCTACGATGCCGCTCAAGACCTGGTGACCTTCGCTGTGGGGCTCCATGAGTGTGGCAGCACCTTGCAGGTATGTGCCCAGTTTCATCTCTTTTGTTAGCCGGTGGCTCTTTGCTTGGTTTTGAGTTGCCCCCCTAAGTCCCACGGCTTGGCAAGCTGGCACTCTGGTTAGTGACCTTTATGCCTTTCTTGCAGTCCGCCCCAAGCCCAGTGGAATAAAACCAGTTCCCCACTGAACCCACAGGCTTTACACAAGTGCTGACTTATCATTCCACAGTTGCTCCAGTGGGTCTACTCTAACTGGCACTAGCAATTGGATGGGGGCCTATATTTACACTGCAACTTGATATTAGTCTCAAGACCCCACAAGCCTTTACACACACACACACACACACACACACACACACACACACACACACGCTTTTTAATGCCACCTTGTGGTGCTGGATATAAAAAGAAGGCAGATAATTCTGCAGGTATATCTCATTATTTTATCCACATTTATCTATCTCTCTCTCTTCAGACATGGCACTAGCTGTCCAACTGTTTCTCTATCTTTCTGTCTTTATCTATCTTAATTTTATCTATTATATTTTCACCCCCTTAAAAAGAACCAATGTGGTTTAGATCATCATTAAAAGGGCAATTTTTAAAAGCTAAAAGCAGTAGGCATACAAATGTTTAAAAAGAATTAAACAATGATCATATCAACAATGGCAAACAAAATCAATACTAAAAGCACATTTAAAAGCAATAGAGCACAACAGTCCAATTTGAAAAATCCCTCTTGGACAGCCACCCGCTAAGGAAAAGGCTAGTTGAAGATACATTATTTCCTGGGAGAAGATGGGGCCTTCACGATGCATGCACAGCATCTTACTAGAGGGGTACTGAATTTGAACTCGGCACCCAAGCTCTCTCTGTTCTGCACCATCAAGTTAGAACCAACTGATTGTGAACCTAATAGGGTTTTCAAGATAAGTGATTTAAGGAGTGGTTTTACCAGTTCCATTCACCCAGTGAATTTCTAGGGCTGAGCAGGGATTCGAACCCTGTCCTCCAGAATCCTAGTTTGTCCCTTTATCCACTACACCACACTGGGAGTCCAATGTGGTGTAGATCATCATTAAAAGGGCAATTTATAAAAGCTAAAAGCAGTAGGCATACAAATGTTTAAAAAGAATTTAACAATGATCATATCAACAATGGCAAACAAAATCAATACTAAAAGCACATTTAAAAGCAACAGAGCACAACAGTCCAATTTGAAAAATCCCTCTCGGACAGCCACCCGCTAAGAAAAAGGCTAGTTGAAGATACATTATTTCCTGGGAGAAGATGGGGCCTTCACGATGCATGCACAGCATCTTACTAGAGGGGTACTGAATTTGAACTCGGCACCCGAGCTCTCTGTTCTGCACCATCAAGTTAGAACCAACTGATTGTGAACCTAATAGGGTTTTCAAGATAAGTGATTTAAGGAGTGGTTTTACCAGTTCCATTCACCCAGTGAATTTCTAGGGCTGAGCAGGGATTCGAACCCTGTCCTCCAGAATCCTAGTTTGTCCCTTTATCCACTACACCACACTGGGAGTCCCATCGATACAGGCAAGATGTTTCTGGAAGTGGTTGTCCAGGAATTGTTTTTGCATTGTGGTGTTGTGGGTCTGCGTCTTTCCAGGCAAGATGCTTCCGTTCATCTTGTCTGGAAGTATAACAGACCAATGGATTGGGGCCGTCTCCTATACCCTGATCACCCTTGGATTTTTCCAGATGACCCCCGAGTCGCTGGTCTACAGCATCAGTCTTTACTATAACCCGACTCCTTCCGCCAGTGCGATCATCCTGCGGACCAGTCCGGCCGAAGTCCCCATTGAGTGTCATTACCCCAGGTGAGCGTGCATGATAGTGGCTGGGAGGAAGACGCGTGGCAGCGATTTGCTTTCCAGGCGAGATCTCTCACTTTTCTCCTCTCTTTCCAGGAAAAACAACGTGAGCAGCAAGGCTATCAAGCCCACCTGGGTCCCTTTTACTTCGACTCTCTCGGCAGAAGAGAAGTTGAGCTTCTTCTTACGCTTAATGAACGGTGGGGTCCCGAGTCCTTGCAAGGGACAAACGAGATGCCCTGCATAGCAAGGGCATAAGTGGAATTTTCAAAACAAAGAGCTGCTGCAGGCGGAAAACTTCCCTGCATGTAGAAAGCTAGCATAGCAAGACAAAAAGCCTATGCAGGGGGCGGGAATAATTCTGTAACACAATACTCCTTAATGTGCAGAAAGTAACACCATTCAGGAAGGATGGCTGTTTTACAAGCCATGTTTTCACTAGATAAATAAGAAAATACAGAATTTGCCAGTTTGGTGCTGTTTGTGTCTATTGAAAGAAAACAAACTTGGAGGGCTGGTGGTTGGTAATTGGCAAAGACATCTTATATTTATTGATTCTGGAAATCCACTGAGGGATACAACAGGTTAGGTGGAATTATTTGCTTATAAAAGCCCTTAAGGACAAACTTTTATTTGTGTGGCTGTCTGCTTGCCGCCTCTTTTTAGGAGCAAGAGCAGCTAGCTTACACTTGGAGAGAAAGCAGGAAGGAAGTCTAGCCTGAGAATAGCAATCTACATTTCAACAAGTAGTTACCTGGAAGAAAATCAGGGAGAGAAATGGAGAGAGAGAAATGGTTATCTGGCAATCTTTCTGTCTGCTGTTCCCTATGGTGCTTAGCTTCCATTCCCATCTCAGTAAGGTGCTGTTACCATCTTCCTTTCCAGAGGACTGGAGCGCTGAGAGAGTCTCCAATGGGTACCAGCTGGGAGATGTGATGCACATTCAGGCTGATGTGAACACTGAGAACCATGTGCCCCTGAGGCTCTTTGTTGACAACTGTGTGGCCACTCTGAGCCCAGGCAGGGACTCTGCTCCCCAATATTCCATCATTGACTACAAAGGGTAAGAGTCCAGAGGGTGTTTATCCTTTAACGGAAGTAGGAATATTTTCAAAATAAGACAAACTCCCAAAGCAGGTGCTAATATTATACTTTTATTGAAGCATCTAAAGAGACATAATATTGTATTTTGAATGATGTAAACCACCAGGGGTCCTTTTTTAAAGGAGAAAGGTGGGGTGAAAATATTTTAAGTAAATAAACAAATCCAGGTGCAGTTGTCTGAGGTCTTCATAGGATTGTTGTCCGATGAAGAGACCTGCAGATCTCTGAAGTTTGCACCCTTTTGATTAACCTTACAAAGGTGTTACCCAAATATGGATTTCCCCCCCTTGTGGCTCACGTAAGAAACCGTGGAAGTCAACGCTTATGGTTTTGCTCTTCAGCTGCCTCATTGATGGGAGGTCAGATGCCAGCTCCGCTTTTCTGTCACCAAGGCTCAGGGAAGACTCCCTCCGGTTCACCGTCGAGGTCTTTCGCTTCTCAGAAGATCCCCGGGATCTGGTGAGAGGCCTTCTACGGCCGTAGCTTAAATGGCCCTGCGGTGTGACCTTTGCCCTTAGTGAGGCACTGAGGTCCTTTCGTTCTGGTCTGTCTTCCTTCGTCTAGATCTACATCACGTGCCACTTGAAGGTTTCTGCGGTGGATCGGGCTCCAGACCACGAACACAAGGCTTGTTCTTTCAACAAAGCAAGTGACAGGTGAGTGGACTGAGATGCCCCCGGGCAAAGAAAGGGGTTGAGTCCTCTTCCTCCTCCTTCCCCTGATAAGCGATCTGTGTCAAAAGGACCTTGATCTACCCTTCACGGTTACAGCAGATGGAAACCCATTCAACCCTGACGGCTTCAGTCTACATAGCATCCTGGGAGTTGTAGTTTGATTGAGGTATTTGGAATGGTCTGGTAGAGCAGTGCTTCCCAGTCTTGAGTCTCGAGAGAGGTTCTTGGACTGCAACTCCCAGCAGCCCTTGACAGCACAGCTCGTGGTGAAGGCTTCTGGAAGTTGCAGTTCAAGAACATCTGGGGGCTTCAGGTTGGGAACCACTGTGGTAGAGAATTCACCCCACACCCCCGTGAGCTTGGTGGCAGAAGATTCAGGAATCCTAGGATGGGGAGGTTGAAGATTAAAGGGGGTACCAAACTGCTAAAACTAGATAGTGCAGACACTCCAAACTCTCACCAGATTCACTAAGGAGAATCCCTGATACAACCTATAATTCTTCTTAGTACTTCAGAGAATCTACTTTGAAAGTCTGCAGCCTCCTCCACTTTCCCTCTTCGGAGGCTGTCCAAATGCAGCCTCCATGGTTTGAACATCTGTCCACTCCCACTTGCTTTGTTTAGCATTGTGCCTATATCAAGAGTTCTGTCAAACTCAAAGGCTTACACATTGCTGCTTGTGAAATGGCTTATAACCCAATGAGCCTCCCAAATATCAGATTCCTAAGTTGCTGTTCCTGTTTTTGGCCAACAGAGGCACTTTTGCTTTTAATATTTCTAGCCTCCTTTCCAATTAAAAAAATGGTTCTCAAAATGCCCCTCATATAGTGGTTCTCAAATTTTAGCCTCCGAGTTGTTTTGGACTTCGACTCCCAGAATCCCAAAGCATTGGATAAAGCAGCTGGGGCTTGTGGGAGCTGAAGTCCAAAACATCTGGACAGATAACAGTTGAGAAGTATTTCCCTAAGTCAGTGGTTCTCAACTTTGGGTCCCAGGAGGTTCTTGGGCTAAAACTCCCAGAAGCCTTCACCCCTAGTTGTACTAACCAGGATTTCTGGGAGTTGTAGTCCAAGAACATCTGGGGACTCAAGGTTGGGAAGCAGTGCCCTAAGGAGAGAGATTAGATGTTGTCTTAACGCCAAGTTCTGCAGGTAACCTTCATGTTTC